GGAGGGCCGCGCTGATAAACAACCCCCCGGGGAGGCGAAGCGGCCGGTAACGGGGGACCCGCCTGCCTGGCAGGGGCGGCAGCGAAGCGCTGGGTGTGAGCGAAAGGAACAACCCTTTGCTGGACACCTCCTGCTCCTGCCCCGGCCCCGCGGGCCTCGTGCGGCGCTGGGAGAACCGGCGGCGTTTCTGCGCGTTCGGCCTCTCGAGTCCTGCCCCTGCTTTTTATTTCTGAGTGATAATAACAATAATGAAAAAGTCCGTTTGTTTTAGCTTTCCCTTGGGAACATGAACACCCGGCAGCAAAGCAAAATCACCTACTCCTGGTATGGAAAACCCACCAGCTCAGACAGAAAGCTGAGGACTCTGCAGTACAAGTAAATAACGTTTATTTCTGGCTTGCTGAGGGGGACTTAATCATTGGAGGCTTCTTGACCTTTCTGACAGGGTTTAGGTTAGTGTAGCAGGGAGAATATTATTAAGGTTGTAAGTCGGGACACTCTTGTGCATGACAAAAATGTCACAAAGCTCTTGAATTATAACTTATATAATGCATAAACAAAGACATTTAATTCAATCAGTGAATAACTTGTCTATTTGAAATATGCATGAAAGCTTTGAATCAGGAAACTCAGTTGTAGCCTTTGCAGGAAGTAGCTTAAGCAGCTGTAAGACTGATAGGCCATGAGCTTTAAGAGTGTGTGAATTAAGAATATGAAATCCTGCTAATCTGTGTGTGTGCATCACTTTCTAGAGGAATCCTAATAAAATCAGAAAGAAGCAGAACAGAAAACCACATAAAACTTGGCGAATTTATTTTGGTAGAAGGGGAGAATGCAGACCAACCTTTTGTGGCACAACTCCTGGATTTATATGAAGATGGTAAGAGAAATAAAAATTTACCTCCCATGTCAGAAATCTTAAAGTGTTTTAAAGATACCTATTTCATGGGGATGTATTTAGCCCATAATTAAATGTAATAGGTAAACAGAGAGCTTAAGGACATTAAATTCTTACAGCCTTTTTGCTGAGTTGTCTAATTTAAAATAAATGGTTCTTGGGGAAGACAGAGTGAGCTCATGCTTTATTTAGAGAACTGGAGAATCCAAATGGAGCAAGAGCCCTGCAACTTGCATCTTGCTTTACATCAGAAAATTTAGCAATAAGGTACAAGGCTAAAAGGGGCTCATTATTTTTGTCCCTTGTAGAATTAGATAGGATATTAGATTGTTTATAGATAAAGGTAGATATAAAAAGATAAACCATGGAATGTGAGTGATACAAAGACTATGTCTGAGTCTGAGCTAGAAACTACTTGTTAGTTATTCTGGTTTCTTTGAACAGTTTCTTTTTGTTGGTTTTTGGGCCATCCTAATAATGTTTTGAGGTTTCGAAAATTCTTTAAAAAAACATAAGTACGTATCACTCCAGCTTATTTATTTATTAATGCAGATTTATTGTAATATAACTGAATATTCTCTTCATGCTGGACTAAAATCTGTGAGCGTTACTTGAAAGCAAGATTTTCTTTTTGTTACAGATTTTGGACAAATTTGTTAAAGATACTTGGCTTTGTTTTTCATTTAAAGATGAACACTTTAAAATGTGGAGAGGAATTTTATATTCAGTTGTAATATGTTTCAAATGTTTCTTTTAACTCTCCACACTGAAGCTGTTTGTAGTGTTTATTCAGACTTTTTCCTGGACATTTCAACAGCAGGATTCTCTGGTTTCTTAGGCAGTTGTTAATAAATGTGTTGCTAGTTTGCCTCTAACACAATGTTGAAATTGTTCTGAGATGGAAATACTGTTCTGAGATTTCTCACTTCTCCTTTTACGTCACTATTTTCAGTTAGTCGGGTCTGATTAGATCCTGTTTATGCAAATAAGGTATCTCTTAATTTGTGACAGTGAACTGGTGGATTGGCTGGTCTGCAGGCATTTTGTGGTTGATACGTACGTGTTATCTTGGTCCTTAAAAGTCTCAGCTCAAACATTTTTAGTTTGGCTTAGAAAATGGGAATTGCAGCCTCTTACCAGATGCTTTCTCACCTGTGTCCAGGGAGGATTTCTATCCTGGATGGCATTTCAGCTACAGTAATTGAGGTCTGGCAATCACTCTTTGCAACACAATAAAATTCTTAAAGTTGACTTTTTTTTTTTTCATTGTTACAGGCTCTCAGCAGAAACATGCAGTTGTGCAGTGGTTCTCTAACATCACAGAGATACCTCCAAATAAACGAAAGCTGATTAAAAGACGGCTTTCTCCCCAAGAGCTGTTCTTTGATCAAGTTTCTGGCTATGACAATGATATACTTGTGGAGACCATTATTAAAAGCGTCATGGTAAGTACTGCAACCCCTCTGCACAGAGAGGGAAGAAAGATACAGGAAACATTTGAAAAGCATAATGGAACAGTGCAACTAGTTTATTGCCTCCCAAACCAAATGCGTGATGCATGTTTGTTAATGCAGTTAAGGTGGGATTGGATCCCAAAATGACTTTGGTTGTTGGCAGCCAGCTCATTTAGAGGCTTGTGTGGGAAGAAGCAATGTGATGGGAGTCCTGTACTGCTATAAACTTACACTGGTGTAAATGTGGGTCGAAGGTGGTGTCCTGTGTAATGAAGGATTGTATGAGTTCCAATAATAACATCCATGAAAAGAAAAGAGTTGAATGCTCAATTAACAGTAATTATTGAGATGTGTGTGTTTTGGTATTTTTTATTTTTACAGGTAGTACCACTACATCTGGGGGAGGAACCACCTATTACATTAAACAAGGAACAAATTTTCTATGTAAAGCAGTCTTGGGATGGGAAGTGCTTTAAGGCTTTGTCCCCTGACACGTTCTCTAAGCTGAAAGAAGCTAATAAGAAAGGAGGTGGCATCCCAGACTCTTCAAACTCAGTTATTCCTTCGGACATTGTTACCCCTTCGAAAAAAGAGAGAGAGGGAGTTGTTCGAAGTGCTACAAAACCAAAAAGTGTTGAATTGGAAATAGAATCAAAACATTCTGCTTCCAAGTCTTCCATCGCTAAGGAGAGACATTCTCAAAGAATGGTTAATGGCATAAAAACTCCAACGGCAAAGAAGAAGTTAGAGTTAAACAGTATGTATATGGCAATATTCTGCCAGTGGGGTGGTTTGGCATGTGATGTGGTTTGTGCCTCTTCATTTTAGGTCGTTCAAACAGTGGTAATATTCAATATCTGTATTTTTAGCAATGTTATGCAGGCTTTGGGGTTAGCCCAAGCCTTTTGGGCACATCAGTTGTTTGTCTTATGCCTGTTATTTCAACCAGCTGTACTGCTTATATATTTGCAACTGCTGTTGCAAGTCTTTGTGTAGCTGTTAAGTTTCAGTGCTTGTTGGCTGAAGTGCTATCAATCAGCCTAACTTGACAGCAGAATGTCTCACTTTAATCTTCTGACTAGTGGTGCACTTGGATGTTTACATTGTTTGAATAAGCACATTAATCCTATATAACATGCTGTATTTTCAAACTGGAGCCTATGTAAAGTTGTAAATACTGCAGGTGGGTTAGAAAACTGAAAAAATCAGTTTGTATTCTATTTAGTTATCTTTGTAGAGGCAACGTGTGCCCTTCTGCAAGTATTTAGTCCCTTGTTCCTGGAGTCTAATGCCGTTGGGTTTCATTTAAATGGCTGGCAGCCTCTGAGCCAGTTCTACTGTGGCCTCTGAAAGTTAACCAAGCCATCCATATTAAAGCCTGACAGAAGTTCCTTTTGCTCTTGACTCCTAGGTTCCCCAAGATCTCCTAGAAGCAGGCTCCTGGAATGCGAAGTTTTGGAACTTTTGGATGATGACTCTGATGCTGGAGCACAGTTAGAACCTTTGGCTACTAAAAGAAAAGTGAAATTCACTGGTATCTTAGGCTCACCACCAAAAATCCCTTGCACCAACAATAAGTCAAAGCCAGTGTTTGATTCTGCAAAGGACTGGCAGAGTTTTAGTGATACAATACGATTATCCCCCTATGCTAAGGGCGGAGACTGCAGTGAGGAAGTCAAGAGCCTTCATAGAGATGATGACACTAGAGGGTAAGGGATAGCCTTTTTGTAATTACTTTCTTACAGGATTTATTTTTGTATGTAGTGCTCTTAAAGCATGTTTATGAAAGACTTCCTGAGAGAGGAGCAGGTGAAGCCTCTGTGTGTACCACGTTTTGCCTGTTGAGATCACCTGAAAAAGAGAGGGGATAGCCTGAATAGCTACCAGTGTGCTGTGGTGAAGCTCTAGTAGGTGTGTTATTTGGAGGTGAATGAATGATTGACTTTAAAGGTGGACACCAGCTGTTTATGGTTACAAGAACAGAAAGTACATGTTGGAAATGGAAATGGTAGGATGATATGGAAGGAAATGGAAGCCAAACTGATCATTATAGTTTGTATTTGTCAACATGGATAAAACTGTTTCCCTGCAAGAAGACAAAAACAAGTCATGTTCATGCTTTCAAAGAGTAAAGATGTGGGTACAACACTTGGTGGATCTGCACCCCATTTTTTCACTTATTGTATAGCAAAAAAAATAATTTATAAAATACTGACATTTCAGTGGTATTTATAGATGTAAAAAAAAATCTGAGAACTGTCTACAGATAAAGTAATTCATGTCATTCTGTCCTTTAAACTAGTAGGAAAGTTGTATTAATGGAAAAGTGTTTCAGTGGTAGGGATGATGAAGTGCCCAGGAAGGCAACCAAGGAATCTTGAAACACAAATAGAAAAATCTACTCCAAAGGGCAGATCAAAGAGGTGTCCTAAAGGAAATCATAATTGTCTTCTCTTTCTCTCAAAAAAACCCAACACAAACACAAAATCCAAACAACCCCAAATCAAACAAAGAACTAACTCCCCACAACCAAACAAAACTACAACTGTTTTGAGCCTCTGTCTGTTCAGTTTGGCAGTGTTATATTTGCAAAATAATTTGAGGAAATACAAATAGCTTTGTGTTCTTTCTTTACAGTTTAGTTGAAGAGCAGGACTTGGACAGTCAGAGCATTGTCTTGACCCCTCGTTCTCGTAGATTATGTGCACAGAAGACAAGTATGCGCATTGCAGAGCAAGTCAGGTAAACTTCTGCTTTCATGCTTTATTTAGGTTGCTACTGACAGCTTGAAGCCTTCATAGTTACTTCAGCTTAATAATCAAATGCAAATGTTTCTAGAGATACAGTGTAATTGCAGCGTGAGTGAAAACCGACATGTTCAGAAATGGAGTTAATCAGAAAACTGCCTTCCTTTAAACCAGTCTGTTAAATAGCCAGAGAGAATTAACAGCTCAAGTGGAAAGTATGTTGGCTTGCTGTTTATGCTGACTACAGATAAAGCTGAAAATGTTTCAAATTATACTCTGTAGCCTGTAGAGTTGTTTGTTGTTCTGTTGTTTTTTTTTAACTCATGTAATTTCTGCTTCTCGTAGCATATTAAATACACTAGAACAGAATGAGGAAGAAGATTCTCTGTCTAGCTCAGATAGCTCTTACTCCTCAAGTAGTGAGGAAGAGGACATTGATGTACCCTGTACACCGGAAAAGAGAACTAGCTCAACCAGAACATTGAGCACCCCAAAATCCTCAAGGAAGTCTTCAGATCACACTCCTGCTAAGACCCTGAAGAAAACAGTAAGATTCTGTTTAAAAGAGCTGTTTTTATTATTTCACAGCCAATTATTTGAATGCTTGATGGCTGCGTAGCAGAGTTAAGTGTATGGGCCTCTTAGCTTTTTTTGAAATGTTATCTTGATTCATATAAACTTTGGTATGAGTAGGTTATGCAAATGTGTAAACCCCTTGTGAATGTTGTGATAGGATTAATCAGAAAAATCTAGCCTAAAAAGGGAAGAGTTTGGATTAGGCTGGAGCTGAACAAACTGATTAAGCCATTTATGGCCACCACTTCTTTCACTGTAAGCTCTGCCCTGAGATGTTTTAGTTCTATTTCTGAGGAGTCTATTGAGTGCAGCCTGTGTATGTAGAATGAATATCTGCTGCCAAGCACAGTGTTGGTCTTGCCACTGTGTGAGTGCTTACACTAAAAGGGGTGACCTGCAGCCTCTGTGGCCACACCAGTGTGACCAGCAGTGCCTCGTCGTGTCGTGGCTGCTGGTAGAGATAAGGGTTCCAGGCTGCCTGGATCATAGGCCTGATGCATTAAGGCTGTTTTCAGCAACACTACCAGGTACCTACTGTCAATGGCTAATTTTAATTCTGTGTTTGAGATGCCTAACTCAGGAATTCTAGCTAACTAGAACTCATAAGCACAAGGAAGAATCATTGAGATATCATGTGGAGTTTGTTGGGTTTTTTTTGTTTGGACAATGACATGCAGACAGATCAATTTCTATTTGGTTGCTGTTTCTTAAGAACTGGATCACTGTGTAATACAGCACTTCAGAAGGGCATCAACATTTGAAAAATTCTTCAGACAGTTAAAAGACATAGTCTACATCACCAGTCCTCTTGCAGTTTCTTTTTTTCCCTTAGGAAGAAAAGAGCATGAGTCTTGTTTGATAATTCCCTTTGTAAAGACTGTTTCTCTTATCTTGTACTCTGGCATCCCTGGGTAGTCTTTGTGCATAAGTGATGTTTGGGAAACTTGCACAAATGATCAGTCTCCCAACAGGAATTGCTGTCTGTAAAAAATCTTTTTGAGGTTGTAACTTCTTTTGCAGCCTTTACCGGCAACACCAAAGACGCCCCGGAATGCAACTCCTGAAATTCCCAGGCGCAGCCATGCAGCAAAGAAACCAGCCAGCATACTAGAAGAAGCCAGACTAAGGTAATGTGTCTTCAAGGGAGGGAATAATCTTTTTAGCATTAGGTATGCATAGCAGTAAGCTCTGTTGAAATAGGGAAATGTCATCTTTACTGTGTTGAATGAATGTGGTAAAAGTGCATGGTGTTTTGATGCTAGAAGAGCACTTATTAATTTACAGTATGATACTAGATTTACAAATACCAGTAGTATTTACAGTACTGCTTCTGCAATTTCAAATCATTATCATCAGTCCGTGTTAAGTTCTTCAGAATTAGGTGTCTGTCTTTATTTTGTGCAACATCAGGAAAACAAAGATCCACTCTTACTAGGTTTAGATTTTAAAGAAACAATATCTGACCTCTCTTAGTGAGTGAAAAACCTTTACAGGTATTGTTGAATATCTTCACAGTGGGGAAAACGTGCATTCAGGTCTGACTGTATCTTACAAACTGAGTTTGAGTTTTTTTCAGCTTCCTATAAGAAGTCTTCCCTGTTTCATCCTACCTCTACTTTGACTTAGAATCTTTTTATGAATTAAAGCAGGTAGATCTTTATTGCTGGTTTGGTCTGGAGCATTTTGGCAGCAGGGAAGGGGCCCCAGGAGTGTCTCCTGTAAGAAGCTGAAAAAGCTTATATTTTATATATTTTTCTCAAAGTTGAGTTTGTTTTGCCTGTGATCATAACTGGTGTGAGTGAACATTTGTCTTGACCCACGAGCTTTGAGTAGGATTTTGTCCTCCCCATCCCACAGTAGGGTAGGGATAGGGGGCTGAGTGAGCAGCCACATGGTTCTTTCTTGTCAATTAGGCCCAAACCACCACAGTTTACCAAGATGACTGTTCAGCCCTCTTAAAACTTAAAAGCACATGTAGAAAGACTAGGCTATTTCTTTTGGGGTACTTGACTTTGGTGTTGAAATTTAAAGCATATAAGAGAGGTCTGAAAAACTGCACACCACTGTGAAATGTTCTGGCTATTTGTTTTCCTCAGCAGGCCCTTCAGGTAGAACTGTGAGAATGCAAACCTTGGACCTCATATTTCAATTTTCTTTTCTGTTTTAATCAAAGGTTGCATGTTTCTGCTGTCCCAGAATCTCTGCCTTGTCGTGAGGAAGAATTTCAGGATGTCTATAACTTTGTGGAAAGCAAACTTATTGATGGTACAGGAGGGTAAGTTTGTTGGTGAGACTGAGATCACATCTACCTGTGGCATAACAGCAGTCAATCAACACTGCTTTTACTTTAAAAGTTGTCATTTGGCTGGATTGAAGTTCCTAGTTTAATTTCCTGGTATTTTTCTTCCTTAAGAAGGGTTGTGCATAGAAATAATGTGGGCTCCTTTATTGCACTGGCTGAAATTACAGACCCAAATATAATTAGTCAATTTTAGATGTCTGGGAAGCCATTTTATGGGTTTTTTTAAAGACATAAATTACATTTATAAAGTATTTTAGGTTGTTAATTGATTCAGTAATAATAGAAGTCCTCATGATCCTCCAATGTGTTACATGTCCCAGTTTGCAAATAAAGTAACTGAAATCCTAAGAGTGTTACAATTTTGCTCAGGCTACTGAAGAGGTGTTTTCCTTTTGTAGGTGCATGTACATCTCTGGAGTGCCTGGAACAGGTAAAACTGCAACTGTTCATGAAGTAGTTCGCTGCCTTCAGCAGGCTGCAGAAAATGATGACCTACCATCATTCCAGTTTGTAGAGATCAATGGCATGAAGCTGACTGACCCTCACCAAGCCTATGTGCAGATACTAGAGGTAAGTGAAGCCTCTTTAGTGGCTCTCTGGTTTGAAAGAAGAGATCTTATCCTTTACCATCAGATCATTGATGTGTTACAGTATACAAGGCATTTAACCTATCATTACTTCCTTCCTGGAGACTATGCTTTTTATCTCTGAGCAGGTTAAAAAATAACTTAAGGTCATGGCCAGCTTCTTGAACTCTCAGCTGCATAGGGGCAGTGGCTGGGAAATAGCCTGCTTTATTACGTCCCTCAGGTTTTTTAAAAAAAATTTAGACAAAATTCTTTTTATATTTCCCACTTCTGTAACTTTTTTTGCACATAGATGCTTAAAAAGTTACTGACATTATAACTCTGGGAAGTCAGTGTAGCAGAAAAATAATTACTAAGGGGGTCTTAATGGTTAATTGGTCTGTCATAGCAACCCAACCTAAGGGACCATCTCTGGCAAAAATGCTGTATTTTAGATTTCCATGACAAACTAGTCCACAGTATCCCTTCTGGGACTGCTGACTTTGGTTGTGTTAGTAGGGGTGGGAATTTGCCTGAGCACTGGATTAAATCACTCAAATGGGCATAAAAGAGTAACTGCTGAAGACCTCTGTATCTTGGCTAACTTTTAAGGCAGTGATGTGGAAATGGAATTGTGAAGCATCTATTCAGTTTTCTTACAGACTTCTGCTCCATTTATTTAAGTATGGCAGCTTCTACCATAGCAGTAGGTGGTGTACATTGTTCTAATATCCCTGTCCTCATAGCTGGGAGTTAAATTTACAAATTTGCATCCTTTCCTCAAATAAGTATAGACTGTTTTTCTGAGGGATTTGTTGTAGCATGGTTGCTGTGTTTCTGTAGCATAGTGAAAAGCTTCATGACAATTGCCTTATTTCATGGTAATGCCCATGTATTTAACACTCTTATTTCCTATTCTGTTTAGCATAAAATTTAAAAATTAATAAAGAATAGGCCTTTGGAAGTAAAATTTGTTGCTATCCACAGGCCCTGTACTCTTTAAAGTTGCACAGCTAAATGTTCTTCAGGGGAGCACATAGTCAAACCATTTATTTCTCTGATTCCTTCTAACTCAGCTGTTACCCAAGTTCCCTAGCTAGGCTGCTGCTGCTTTTCTGATGGCTGCATTTCTTGCTGCAGGTCAGTCTCGAACTCCAGTTTGCAGATGTTTCTTTGCATAACTGAAGCAAATTCTGGAGTATTTACTACTGCAGTTACCTCACTGTCATGGAAAAGCTTAGAGAGAAGGAACAGGGACCTGAAGGCCTAGACACATGAAAGAGAAGGTTAAACACCTTGGGTACAGCAAGTGTGCCTATTCCACCACAACAAACAGAGCTCTATATTGTATGCTTGGTTCCCGAGCAGCAGAATCAGGATCATACCGTATAATTTTGAAATTAAAGCATTATTTAATTTCTGTGTATCTGCAGACCTGCAAAGGAAGAGTAATGTACAGTCAGCTCATCTATTTTGCCACATAAACTATTGCAGAAGAAGTGCTTGTTGAAGGTTTTTTTCTTTTTAGCTTAGAGTTGAATAAATTATTTAGTTCTAGATCCTGCTAATGATTCATCAATATGTTAATGGGAGTCCAAGATTACTGAAGTCAGGCTATTCTTGTCAACTGACTTAAGTTTTCAGTAGGACTTTTGTGTTGAGAGGTATCCTTGAGGTATGCTAGGTTTAGAGTCTGCCTCAGACTGAGGTCAGGATTTTGTAATGAATCTGTATTTAAGATAAATTGCAGGTAATTCTAATGGCCTTTCTTTCTAGCTGAGCATTGTTCTGTTTCCTTTCTTTATGGACAATTTCTGGTACATGTGAGTATTTTATGAACTACTTTTCTTTTTTCACTGCCCTGCTTCACTGTGGAAAAAAAAATCCAGATGCTTGGTATGGATTGTTAGAGAAAAGTTAGAACTGAACAAGAGTTAAACTTCCTATTTCCAGAGTTTAGTGTGATTAACCTGCAACATTGTTTAATCCTTGTGCAGTTACTGACAGGTCAGAAGGTGACAGCAACCCATGCTGCAGAACTGTTGGCAAAACTGTTCAACACCCCTGGACCGAAGAGGAAAACCACAGTGCTGATGGTGGATGAGGTGAGACAAAGAATCCTTTCTTCTCTTTCCTCGAAGTATTGTGAGAAATGAGTTTTGGAGAATGGAAAAAGACAAATTATACATGCTTAGAGTGTGTCATATGTGGTCTGAAAGAAACAGACCTAGGAGAGAAGACACACCTAGCTCCTCTTAGCCTTATTAGGAAACCAAATTTAAATGGCCAAGTATCCTGTTACCTTATTGTTCTCTGCCTTGGATTTCACAATGGTTTTATGTTTTGTTTTGATCCAAGTCATGGAATAAGTTGTGTTGTCAAGTCCTAAATACCATAAAATTCAACTGTATTTTGTCTGGAAGCTGCTGCTTTTCCAGTGAGAGAACTCATGGTAAAATAAGTCATCCAGTTTTTAAATTCCTTGAATGTACTATGTTCGGTAACAAATGCACACTTTTTTGTTGTAAGCTGATTCAGGTTCTCACATAGAGGGTCTTTTAATCTTGTTAGATGTAGTATTACTATCACAGTGGTGTCTAACAACTCCAGCAGTTTAATCACTCTACTCTCATTAATGCAGTTCAAGCATTGAGTAGCAGTGTGCTTTTCCAAGAGCCCTAATTCAGAAAATGCAGCCCTTCCTATTAGATGGATAAAGGAAACACAACAGAGACAGCTTGTTCAGAATCATGTAAGATGTTTTCTGTGTCAGAACTAGCTTTCACACCCCCATCAGATATTGTAAAATACAAGGCCCATTTTTGATCAGTCTGATTATTTTCTTTCTATCTCTGCAGCTTGATCTTCTGTGGACCCGGAAACAGAATGTGATGTACAATTTATTTGACTGGCCAACTCAAAAGCACTCCAAGTTAGTCATCTTGGCCATTGCTAACACCATGGACTTGCCAGAGAGAATAATGATGAACAGAGTAGCTAGCAGGCTGGTATGTCCTAGCAGTTTTGTTGCTATGCTGTAAAATGAGAAGAGATAAAAAACTGTATGCAGGGAAAGGTAGCATTGGTTACATCAGAGGTTAAACAATGCTTCTATAATTCCCTCCTTAGACTGTATTCTTCTAAGAATTACTTAAGAATACAGATGGCATTTTAAACATATTAAGATTTGGATAATCAAATGCCATGCTTCATGGTTAAGCTGCTTACTCTGGAGTTCAGAGGAATTCTCTTCTGGTTTCTCATGCTCTTTCCTCTTCCACCCAGACACCTAGTTCTCTCTGCTGTCATACCCTGGTAGATTTTCTTTGTTGGATTCCTTTGATGGAAAGTTGGATGCACTCTACACCTCTGTACATTTTCCTAGGTCATCTCTTCATCACTGCTCTGAAAAGAGAATTTCAGAAACAGTTTTCTGTGCCTTCATCTTTCTGTGACTCAAAAATAGTTCCACTGAGTGTGAATTGCTTTTCCCCACCCACTAAACCTGCAGATCAGCTGAGTCTATATTGTCACGAGAGAAGAATTTTGCACAAGAAATGCATAACTTGGGCCTCCTGTAAAGTATGAAAGGCAGTGCACCATCTATAACATTGTCCTCATCTGAAAGCAGTTTTTATTAGTTTGAGCCAGAAGAGAATTTTTAATTTTGGGCTGATTGCAAAGGTGAAGTCAATAGTATGACTACGTGTGTACAGATTTGCTAAGGGAGAGATTAATGTTTTTTCATAGCTTCTGTTTATTAAGAAATAAAGTGTAAACAGTTATAATCAATAATATTAGGTGGCTCTGATTTGTTTACAAGTTTTGTAAGACAATGCTTCTCACAGTACTGTGTTATTTACTACAGGGCCTCACCAGAATGTCCTTTCAGCCCTACACCTACAAACAGCTGCAGCAAATTATTTCATCTAGACTGAACAGTGTGAAGGCATTTGAAGAGGATGCAATTCAGCTGGTTTGCAGAAAGGTAAGCACAGTACAGGTGTGTGTTCTTTGTGCTAGGTAGAGGTGGGAGGGCAGTGGGGGAGGATTTTGTAACAGGAGTCAGATTTTGGTTCTGTGGTTTTGGGCTCTGTATTGGAGGCAAAGTGGAGCACAAGTAGTGGGTCCAATAGTGTGCTCTCTGTAAGTATACAGGGTGTTTTTGCAGGAAACATTGCTAAAGCAGTCTCCTAGCTTTTTCCACCTACTTCAAGTATATTCCAAGAGCTGGAGGCTTGACGACAAGTCGTGATAATGCAGAATGATAAGATGTCAGCTTTCTCCAGTGTTTGGCATAATGAGTCACTGGATGATCTTGAAAAAAACTTAGTATGCCAGTGGAAATATCCATGTTCATTTTCTTTCTCAAGATGTTTAAAGCCTTGGCATAACAGATAGTACCTGTTCTGTTTTCAGTCTTGATAGTCAGTTCTACAAAATATAAATAATGCATTAGGAGTCATTAGCTTCTCAAATGAAGATGTGTACATAGCTTAATGTCTTATGTCAGCAATCATATGTTAAAATAATATATTAAAATTATGTTAGAACATCTACCAACCAGAATGTGCTTAAACAACTTCTGCTAAGCATCATTGTAGGCTTAAAAAAGAGTACTCATAAATGTCAGAAGTAAATCTAAGCATTTGTTTTGTTATGAAGGAACGACCTTTTTATTAGAAAAATAGTGATCATTATGCAGACCAAATAATCTGTAGGGCCTTTTTAAGTATGGATTTTCTTCAGAAAATCTGGATGAATAACTCAGAATTAGATTTTGTCAAGAGTTTCTCATTCTTGACTGCAGCTGCATTCTGGGGCTTTCATATGTTTTCTGAATCTGCTGGGAAAACTAGGCCAATACTGTGTAAACCACAAATGAGTGTTTAAGAAGTATTTTGTTTTAGAAATTTCAGACACCTAAAAATTTTCAGGCATTTGTTCACTTCCTGAGTTGTTTCTTTAGGGCCTACTAAAAACGTTTATGTACTCTTCAAATCAGTTTTCTATTGTGTATGGAAAAAGTGAGTTGCATTTATTTTTTCCATTCATGAACCTGGATTGTGGTAGGGTATTTTATCAGTAACATTTCTGAAAACTTTTGATGTTGAATTGAATTCCTCACATTGAATTTCCTGGATTTTTTCTTTTTAACCTTACATCTGTGGTTATAGAAGAAAGTTCAGAGTCTTGAATTTGATGAATGGATTGGAGTTGGAGGTGTTAGTGGGTTGCTTCCATTGTTTTTTGGGATTCTAGTAACATAATTCACTCTCCTGGTCTGTGGTGGGTTGTTGGTTTGGGGGTTTTTTTGGTCTATTGATTCCTGCTAAACCCTTTTCTCAGCTTGCAGGATCTGCTGCTACAAACCTGTCGTGTTTCCTTCCAGGTCGCGGCGCTGTCCGGTGATGCACGGCGATGCCTTGACATCTGCAGAAGGGCCACTGAGATCTGTGAGTTTGCTGGCCAAAAGAGAGCCCCTGAGTTAGTCAGGATGGCCCACGTAACAGAAGCCATAGATGAAATGTTTTCGTCTCCATATATAAATGCAATCAGGTAAAAACATTTCTCAGAGGAATTGCTTTTGTGTCTTTTTCACTGAGGTGTTTTTTTTCAAGCAGTTTCATTCTGTCGTCACCACCCTCTGGGAGCATATGCAGTGAATGCATTGAGCTTTGTTGGAGTTTGGTACAAAACAAACTTTGCAGTACAGCTGAGAGAGAGGTACCAAATAGGAATTAAAGACAGGGGAAGCCAAGGCATAGAAATCACTTGTGTAAGTTTATACAGGATGTTTCCATGTTAGTGTGTTAGCTCAGATCAGGGTGTGGCTTTTGAAATGTCCTGATTGTCCCTGCTCACTGTGCCTTGGTTTCACTGAACAGCAGTTTCCATGTATATACATTTGAGTTCCTTCCAGTTGTAACTAAGTCTGGAAGATAAGCTCAGGCATCCACACCTACTAACACTCCTGGTCCTTCAGCACACTGGACCAGACTTTTAGCTAGACTGAAGGAAAAACCGCTCAGATGTGTATTGTGTGGGCACTGGCTCCTCAAGAGTCAGCTGTTCCCCTCTACATATCTGCTTGTATTATGTCACTGTCTTTGCTCCCTTGGATGCAGCAACAGATGTCTGAGCAGAATGCAAGACTTGCCCATTTGAACTGGTTTCTTTAATGTAAATAGACTCTCTTAGGACTTCCAAAACGTTTCCTGAGGAAATACATACGAGGAATTCTGTTGCCTTTCACAAGCTATAACTGCTAAAGTGCTTTACTGGTTTCTGGTCAAAAGGAAGAGCATCTGTTTCATCAAAGGGGGGGACTAAGGGGTGCAAATATGATGTTTTGTTGGATATGTAAGTACTGCTTTTACTATGTTATTTGTGCCTGAAAACCTGAATGTTAATTCATGAATGTAAGTTGACCATAACACACTGCAGAACATGTGTGATGTATGGAATGAAATGTGTTCAGACGCATTGGAAGAGAGGTGAGGTGAAGTGAAATGCAGCGTTTTGTGATGCCAGAGTTTCATGCTGTTGTATAATGCCCAGTTGACATAAACTGCCCCTCTCAGGTAGAAAAATACCCTGCAATATAAATACATGGTTACCAAACAAATTTCCTTCCAGACTTGCTCCTGATGTCCTATAAGTTCTAAAATTCACAGGTTGTTTTTTTGGTCTGTGTTGTTTTGATATTTAGGAATGCCTCATGGCATGAACAAATGTTTTTGAAAGCAATTTTAGCAGAGTTCCGCTGTTTGTGTTTGAGATTTTTTTTTTTTCTCTTAAAAAAGGGGAGGGGCACTGTCAAAATTATCAAACAAAAGTGTAAATATAATATTTAGGGGTTTTATTCTTTAAATGTGATAAGAGACAGTATGATGGCAGTGTAAATTAAGGCATGTCTGTCTAGGCTAGGTGCAAAGACTAATTGAATGTTACCACCTGCTTTTCAGTGGGACTAGATACTTGAAATTGGAAACATCTGCTGTTGTGTTCATGTTACCTGTGGTCTGGATCAGAAAATTTATTATTTTTTTTTTTGTCTGCATCTGAAAATATTGCATGTCCCCACCTAACATGCTTTAAAACAAGGGGGGGAAAAGAAAAGAGAGCTTGAAAATATCAGGAAACATAATTAAAGGTGGAAATCTGGAAGTTGATTCAACTTCTGTATTACAGTCTCAGTAGAGGACAGGTTTATCATTAGTAGCTTAAATTTTTTAGTAGACCCATAGAATACTTGGAACCAGGAGAGCTGTGAAGACTCTGCACAGGCTCTGTGTTAGGATTCATAGTGTGGAAGCTAAATATTGATACTTATAAGAATGTTTAGAACTATATATTTATATGTAAAACGCATTGCAGTTTTATCTGGTTCTACAGATTTGGAAGTAAGCAGTTTTAATTGCTTTTTCTGTAACTGGCTCCTGAATCTGCATCAGATGAGTTCACAGATATAATGGGCAATTGGTTCTTGAACTTCGAATAATATTTTGTTAGAATGATTTATTCTTTTTTTCTCTTAGTTTTGTTCTAACACCAACTGATCCTTGTTACTGGTTTACTGGTCTTCATAAGTTGTGACAAGTGCATTCTCCACTGCTTAAAGGTGCATCATGGCTTTCTGAGCTGTGGTCTTTCATGGTTGTAATCAGGGTAACTTGTGCTTCCTCATCACTGGGCCTGAGGATCAGTTCTGAGCAGATGGATGTGTAACTAATTGCATGAGTCACCTCTTAATCTTCTGGATAAGCTTTAGTACGCATAATCCAAGTGAGAATCACAGAATCACTTAGGTTGGAAAAGGCCTTTAAGATCACCAAGTCCAACCATTAACCCTGCTCTGCCAAGTCCAGCACTGAGCCATGTCCCGAAGCTCCACATCTCAATGACTTTTAAACACAACCAGGGATGGTGACTCAGCCACCTCCCTGGGCAGAATAGGTGTAGTAACAGATAAAATTATCTAATTAAAAGACTGTAGACAAGTTAGGTTGCTAATTGTTTTGCTTTTTGGCTATATAAAAAAGGAAAATAGAGTTTGGTATTGTTCCTTCATTGACTAAGTCCTGACAGTCTTTTTCACCTTGGCCTACTCAATTGCAGCAGGAGGTAGTGCTGACCTGTGTCCTTTTCTCCTTCATTTCAACAGGTTTATCATCACCACATAGCACTGTGTAGAATTGAAGGCATGCAGAGTCCTACAGTGTCAGAAATCATGGCCATTTGCTCAAGACTTGGTGCCTGCAGGCTCTTGCTGGTGGAGTCCAGCAATAAGTATCTTCACACGCGGGTGCGACTCAACGTCGGCCAGGACGATGTCTTGTATGCACTCAAGGATGATTAATAAGGCAATAGAGGTTTTATTTTTTTAATATGTATAAATATTTTAATTATGGTGTATTTTTATAATTTTTTAAAATTGTCGATAAATGGAAATAGTTAAATGTATTTTTTTCTAAATAGTTGGCTTAAGTGTTTGTATTAAAGCACTTTTTATATAATAAAGAATTAGCTTTGAAGCATTTTAAATATTTGTAATCAGACTATTTGTTTTTAAAGTATTTTAATGTGCTAGTAACTGATCCCCTTTTAGCTGAGGTGTATGGACTTGAAATTGTTTACTTGCACCCCTTGCTCATGCTGAGAAGCTTTTTTTTTGTCAAGACCAGCAGTGTCTTTTTGCCCTTGCAGTTGAGGTGGCTTTTCTTCATGGACTTACAAAAGACATTGTCAACACCTGCTGTGACCAACATGAATGATAACGTGAAAATGAACTTTCAGTTTGCAATCCAGGCTGAATATTTTAATTGAGGAGACAGCAACCAGGATAGGTGAAAATACCTGAAGAAACTTGTCATTCAAGTAACCAACTGTGATTGATTGATTGTTTTATTGATTGATTGGTATCAAAGATTGCTTCGAAGGAATTGCCTCAGGCAGTTGCAGGTCTGTTGAAATATTATTTTGTAGTTGAACGTTCGCAGTAAGAAAAAAAACAACACACTATTGTTTTTTAATTGTTCCTGTGGAACAGGCTCCAAAAATGGTTGTTGGTAAATAAAGAGGGGAACTCGGCCTTATTTACGGCCGCCACCAGCTCCAGGCAGCTGTGTGACGGGCTGCCAGCAGCCCGGCCTCAGCAAGCCCGGCCTCAGCAACCCCTGCCAGGGCCGCCC